TGAAAAATATATTTTCAAAGAATAAAGTCTGTGTCATACTAGTCTAAACTTTTCTTATTGTCAAATAGAAGGGCACTTGGAGACCACAACCTTAACCAATAGTGCTTATCAGACTCCAATCTGCGCAAGAATTAATTGGGATCTTTTATCCAGGCAACATCTTTCCATCATGTTCTTTAATAATCCTAACCCCTACTGACAATTAAGCAGCAGCAAAAACACAACTTCCTGTTGAAAGACACATTTATGTTACTCCATCCTTCAGACGTGTACAACTTCCCTCGCATGTTGGCTATGGCACCTTAGCCCATTTGTTTCTATTGAGGCCATAACTCTTTTAAATTGGGTCATAAATATACGCTTAATTTCTAAATAGGCTACTTAATTCCCACAAACAGCTGGGCACTCTAGCTCTAAGCAAATCTTACTCAAACCAGAAAAAAATTGTGCATATGTTAGGGACTATTTTCAGTCATGGATGAATACACATTTCAGCGCAACTTGTAGATGTGTGTTGCAGGATGATTTGCTTCGAGTTTAGGCCCAGAAACAATGAAAATGAAAGTTGGAGAGCATATCTGAATGACTTTGGTGATCATTCATTTTTCCTCTACCAAACCTTAGAGATTTCTACTTTTATTCAGAGAGCTGAATGTTGTCACTATACATGATAAATACATTCTCGTCATTCTCAGTATAAATGAGAAGCAGTTTGTTCAGAGTAAGTCTGACACATTTCATGCAGAGCACAAAAGCACTGGGACTTTGCACTTTGAGTATCACTCTGCCTCAGGAATTCTGATGACAGTTAATGAAGTTCCAGCAGATAGACTTTAAATTAATCAGGCTGGTATCTCAGAATCACACAGGCCACCAAAGGACCTGTCAACACACCATTTTATAATTGCTTATAGCTTATAGCCGAGTGCCTAAAACAGAATCATGGTTTTCCAGTGTAACATTGCTCAATTAACTTTGGGGATTTGTTACCAAAGTAGATCTTGTTAGCCTTCCTAATACTTTTGCAACATATAGAAGCACTTTATAGGATTATTTCATTGTTGGCTTTGGCCTTTTAATTGGATTTTCTTTACAATAACAAAAACATTGGCTGGCCTTATCCTATATAATTAATTTTCCCATTTTAGGGTGGAAATATCCACATATTGTAGATCTATGGTGGCACCCATCCATGTAGAAATATTCTGTATCGGCATCATTTTATGAACAATTTCCCCAAATGTAGATTTAAATAGTTTTTTTCTTATATTTAAAAATATTCGTCTGCACAACATGGATTTGTTTCAACTGAACCGTTGGCAGGTCACTCAGGTTTAGTGGATATAGAAGAAAGAGGAAGTGAGAGTACTAAAGAGAGCGAAACACCCAGTGTTATATAAAATCTTGATTTCTATATTCAATACTGTCCAACCCAATCTTTTTTCCCCTCAACACACCCCTTTACACATCACCAATAAAATCTCTGCTCCTCCTCCTCCTCCTCCCCTTACATTAGAAGAAAAAACACCTGATGTGTATGCAATGTGGACCTCCCCACTCACAGTGAACAAAAATAGACGCAGCATGTAATGATATTTGTGGGTGGGAGGTAGTGGATGGACTATTAATTTTCCAATCACTGTAGGTTGTGTTAACTTGTCTATTCATTCATGTGGAGCTACAATACAGGCAACGGGAGACAAACAAACTTAGAAATTGCATTACACAGTTTTGATTTATGGCTTTATGTGACTTGCATTTGGCTGCAGTTAAATTAAAAAAGAATACCCTTCAGGGGTATAAAATGTCAAAATGTATTTTACTCCTGTGTACCTGCAGCACAGATCAATCACTATAAGATATTTAAGATCTTACAGACATTGACGCACTCTAAAGAGAACCATTTCTCTGCTGTTTTCTGTAGCCATGTTTAACAATGGAGCAGCTCATGTCAGATTTGATTTATGACTTGAAGGTATTTAAGGATACTTTTTAAACACTGGTAAATAATACCCAGGGGAAAGTATGGTATTATACTGTATTGATCCTGATGCTCCACCTAGTTAACAGCCCCAGTGGCCCATTTGTTAAAGTTTAATGAGAAAAGGAGGTGAAACATTACAGTACAATTACTTGAAAATGTCCCTAAAATATGATGGATATAACACACTACTGTGTAAGACAGAGGACATTATATGACATGATACCCTGTTCTGAACCCCTTTCAACGCAGAGGAAACACATTTTATTTAAAGTCATGCTTTTATCAACAAATGTGTTGAATGAAGTGCAAATAAAAACCAAACATATTCAATTACTTAAAGCTAATGGGTTATGAAACAGACTGAAATGAATACTGATGCCTCTAAACAACATACAAAAGAGAACAGGATCCTCTGTGACAAGATTGATTATTTCTACATAGTTATTTTCCATTTCTGTCTTTGTTATATCTAATTCAGATTTACATCACTGAGCCAAATGAATCTTTGTCAAAGGAAACTTTGAGAGAGAAACTTTAATGGCATTTTATAAAGAGGGGAGTCTTGTGTAGCCCCTCATCCTGAATCCTAGAGTTATTAGTCCCATCTTGTAGTCACCAAACAGTCACAATCAAACAGAGAGTCGTTACTAACAGCATGAGTAAAGGGCATGATTCAGTGTCACCCAGCAGATGTTAGAAAGCAAATAACCAAATACTTTAAAGGATACATTTGTAAGATATCTCCGGAATTAAATTATGAAATGACCTTACAATATCATCAGATATAAAGGAAACATGTTATGTTGAAATACTGGCTTCTCTAACAACAATGCAGGCAACCCCACACGGCTGTTTTGGACGCCCCTCGGTTTGCCAGGCAAACGGCAAACCAACAGGTGTTGTAGAGATGCAAGCGGACAAGTGAACTGGTTCAGATAGAACTGCTTCTACCTGGCCTAAAAAGCCTCTGCATTTTTATAATAAGCCCAACAAGCAGAAACGTGGTATAAATAAATGCTGAAGCTTTCGTGTCCACAACATGGCAATTTGCTTGCAAATCTACTCTAGGGAGGAGGGGGTGGGGGGGGCAGCTCTTGCCAATGTTTTATATTTAGACGGCAGTACCCATTTCAAACGCTATGCGTCAGAGTTAAGGCCTGTGTCCACAGACCGCGTTTTTCTGTGCTGCCAGAGCTTGTTACCAATGCAGCAGTGTCTTCAGCATTCACCGTCCTGAGTGCTAAAATCACCTTGTCGCTAAGCTCACAGCACTCAGGACTGAAAGAAGTTCAACTTTTAGAAAAGCGCCATGCTCATCGATGTCACTTCTCCCTCATCGACCAATCAAAATCAAGAAGCGGCGGGATATCTGATATCAGCTTTGACAACAACAATGGCGGAGGAGACGCCAGTCCAACTCGTCTTTTCGAGGGTACTTAAATACACCTAACGGACATTACAGAGAGAAGCAGAAGTTAACTTTTGCAACCTAGCAACAATGAGCACTGTTGAGAAGCGCTCTGGAACTGAGGTTTTGGGTGCTGTCTGTGGACACAGGCCCTTAAATATTGTTCCTTTAACAGGATCACAGAGAAGTTGTGTCTGCAAAAGCAAGAAGTCAGAGTAAACCAAGTGAGAGTGTCTTACAGTCCATTCAAAGCAAAAACAAATTATATTGTCAGTAATCATTTTTTGATCACAGAGTACAATAAGATGATTTTCAGTAAATTACAAAGTGAGACAAGTAGCACTCAAGAGGCTAGTCAAACAGAAGGGATGAAGTTATCTTCCCCTTCTTCCATAAACTAAAAAGTAGGCCATAATCATTGTGAATGAATTCACACAACAGTTCAGAGAAGAGCAGAAAATGACAATATGTGATTAGTGTGGGACAAAGGCAAAACTGGCTTCAAAAAGCACACATTAACATTATAAATGTTTTCTTTTAATGTTTATATTCTAAACCATGCGAACAACATGTCCAAAACAGAAGAACAACACTTGTTAAATGGTTGTCTTTGCATCATAATAGCAGAGCCAAAGAATCCTGTGAGCTATTATATACAAGTTTTGATGCAGGACATGAATCATCCTATTTGAATATAAATATGTAGTTGACAAATTGCATGTATTATTTCGGGGCCAATACATGCTACTTACTAAGAAAGACAAACACAGACACCTGTAGCATGCTGAGCACAGCACTGCACTGCTGGCAACTGTTGGCTTCCCACATAGCCTTGTTAACAATGACTTGCCAGTACAAACATCACTAACTCTCTCTCACAGTCTTCCTAGGTCGAGCGAGAGAGTGAAGGATTAGATCTCAACTCCCAGAGAAAAGAGAAGGGGAGCAAAAGATTAGCTGTCATCCCTCAGAAAGATCAGAGAGGACACAAGAATCAACTATTTCACTCGGTTTTGGACACAAAGGGCCCGTTTTCATCAGTGTCTGCAGCTGAGGTTAATTTGATATGTAGAATATATTTATAATGAGGTCAGGTTGTTATTGGTACCGTTCCAAAGGACAAGGGGAAGAGTTGAACGACATGCAAGTGGGAAAAATATGATTTTATAAATATTTTTTAACATAATTGATGACAAAAATAACCCACACAACTTTCAAAATGCATGGCTTATCATTAGGCCCATTAAAATGTAAGCAGCACTTTCTAAAACCAGCATTTCAAAATGGAAATTTGATCCGGCACTTGTGCAGTAAAGCCAGTTTTACACAACAAAAACAAAACATAACACAGCCCCGGTTTTTTGCGTGACAATTATGAAGATGATGATTGAAGTTGCAGTCTGATCCTTTAATTAAATTAAGATCCTAATTAGACCATTTCTTCTTCCAACAGTATAGAAAGAATAGAGCATATAGAGGCTAACAAACAAACATGCTGGATGCCAGACATTTAAAAGGTAAGAGAGAAAAAATAGGAAGAGAAATAGAGGAACTTTGCACATATTTGTTTCAGCCTTTTTTGTAGTTGCATGCACATTTGGTACTTACATGCATTGGTGACAGCGAAGCTGTTGGCCGTTTCTATATTGTCGACGTGCGGGACCAGGTTAAAGGGCGCTTCCGTAGCGTTTGGGCTGGTGTTGTGAAGGAAGATAGCTAGCCGAAACGCTGTATACTCCTGATCAGTATTCCTAATGAACAACCCACCTAGAGAGAGGGACACAGAGAGGGGGGCAGAGAGGAAAAGAGTATGATGGAGAGGAGAGGAAGTGAATTATTGTTGGGTGGAAAAAGGGACGGAGACAGGGAGAAGGAGAGTAATGTTGGGAGGAAGGATAGATAAATTGGGAGTAAGCAGAAGAGAGGGGTGATGGAGAAGAAAGCCAAGATCTTCATTAGCGTTGTTACAAAAAGGTAATTTGTCTTCTAGCACATTGTCACGTACAAACATGAGTGCAAACACACTTGAGGATACCCACACTGTGGATTTCATTGATGGAATTAGAGGATGGTAGAAGGGGACAGAAGAGAAGAGAAGAAAAGAAAGACAACAAAGCTGACAGGAATTCAAGGCAGCCAAGGGGATAATGAGTCAGAGAGGACATAAAAGACAACAGAATGAAGGCCGGATCAGACAGAGTGAGAGAAATGAAGGAAGATCATGGAGGATACAAAAAGAAAGGGTGAGTGAGGTAAGTGTCCTTTACAGATGAGGTCTAGCTAACTAAAAAAATAAAGATGAGAAAGAACCAGTGAGACTAATAATTTGTATATCAAAACTAAAAAGATATGGAAAAAAAGACACAAGAGATTGATACAGTTATTATTTATATCTTATGCCCATTGTTAATGGAACATGTTGGTTGGCTGTACATCTGTAAATATTCCTGTCAATAAATGTGTTCATAGTGCCAATTGTATAGATTTTCTCTGTATTTCCTCAAACAGTAATTGTAACTGAACTGAAATAAACGGATGTGACTTAAGTTTTACTGAATCAAACTCAACTCAACTGAGTTGGATCATAATGACAGACTGTAAAGGCTTGACTTCACATCAGGAGAGAGAGAGAAAAAGGAGGGAGTACGGAAAGATGACAGGGACGGAGTGTGGAGGCAAGAGCATATTGAGCAAAGCAGTATCACTACATTGAGCCACTTATGTGTACAACTGTGTGTCATGCAAAGGAGAACTTTGCAGGATCTTTCCTTTTTTGTACCTTAGTTTTCTTTAGTTTTTGCAGCTTATTTGATCAGTAACCAATTCCTTACACAAAGATAACACCCATTGGACATGTGTTAGTAATGTGTAAAGCAGATTTTGCATGAACACAATAATTTGATGGGTTTTAATAAACTTTAATGTATCTTTCGTATCGCAAATCTTGGGTCAAATGTCCAATATTTGTGTGGCCACAGACAGAATTCCAAATTAGAATGCACACATACATTTCATCTCGGTGAGGCGTTTTGATATGTCCTAGTCATGACATGTTATTGCACCAGTCTCTCTAAGAATTTATACTACAAACCTTCTCATCTGTGTCTTTCTCTGCCTCTGTTGCACACACAGACACCCATGCACATGCACACACGCGCACGCACACACACACACACACACAGACACCCATGCACACGCACACCGCGCACGCACACACACACGCGCACGCACGCACACACACACACACACACACACACACACACACACACACACAAACACACACAGACAACCAGACAGACAGACAGACATGCAGAGAGAAACAGCCTGTGCTTCCATTGACATTACACTTGTGTGCAATGCAGAGATATGCAAATGAGTACTGAAGTGAACTGCTGGAGAGCCCAGCAAGTAATCCTGTATGTATATTTGAGTGTTTCAGGAGAACAGTGGGAGACAATGTGTGCGCTTCTGAAGGATCACATATGCTTAGGTACACGCAGTGACCATGCACGCATGTATGGTTTATGTGTGCACATATATGCATTCTGGTGTAAGAGTGAAGTTTAGCCCTGCATGGTGTACAATATGTGCACACAGAGCCTACAATATGTGTGTATTTCTATGACTCCATGTGGACTATGTATATGCTTGAAATCCTGAGCAAGTATTTGTTTCTGCATGTGTGTGTGTATGTGTGTGTGCCAAGAAGAAATATTTAGCATATTAAGTTTATTGGCAGCTGTAGGGAGACAGAGTCAAGGAGCCGAATCTCATTATAGGACCTCCCAGATGCCCCCCACAACGGGTGATGCAGTGCATTCATTACCACACACATGCCTTTACAAATGTGTGTGTCTGTGTGTGTGTGTAGGAGAGAGGGGGGAGGAAGGGAGAGAGAGAAAGTTCCAACGTGTGTGTGTGGTCAGTATGCCCTATAGGTAAACCCTTTGTTGATCCCGATTTAGTTAACTTTGTCTCTGATCTTTAAGGCAGGTTTCTCCAGCACTGACAGGAGGGTAACTGGAAAAGGGCAGAGAGAGAAAGGGAGAGAGAGAGATAAATAGAGAGAGACAGAGAGAGAGAGGGAGAGAAAGAGAGAGAGAGAGAGAGAGAGCGAATACTGCAGTGTCTAAACATTGAAGAAGACTCGAAGGGAACAAAGCTTGCTGAAACATTCATGAGCCCAGATCAGCCTTTAAAATACATGCAAACACAGTGAAAGGATAGCAGGAGTGCAAAGTTCTTCCTTTCATGAAACAAACGAGTCACATTTTTTTTTTAGAAATCAGATGAACAAGATGCACCAAGACGTGCTTTCTCTTCTTCTATCATTCCTGCTTTAGAGTTACACAGTAATTTGTGTTTTCAAGGCTCAACGTGCACCCCCCCCAAAAAAACTGCTGTCCACCAAAACGCATGATATCAAGTGTAGTGTGTCTGATATGATGATCCGTGCGTAAGAATCCTCCAACTCACCTATCTGCACCGAGCTGGGGAAAGCCCCTGTCGCCAGTCCCCACAGGGCGGAATACAGCCCGAGAAAGTGCCAGGAAAAAATAATAATCCTCATTTTTCTTTGCTTTAATCCTTTCAGAAACTGTTGAGAGACATCGGGAAAGAGAGAAAGTGGGGAGATGCAAGAGAGACAGAGAAAGAGGGGGGAAAGGCGCCAGAAAGGGGGGAAAGAAGAAAGATATGAGGTTTTTCCCCAGTTTTGTCCAGCAGTATTCCTATTCCATGATGAGATCGTTCGTTTCTTCCCCCTGCAGTGTCCGCTCAGGAGAGCCGTGCGCTCGGTGCACATGGAACGACGCGAAGAGAGAGGGAGAGGAAAAAAAAGAGTGGGGAAACTCGCTAGAATGATTGGCGAGCTCAGAGAGCAGCCTGCATGGATGGACTGGACATGCGCACCCCGTCTCTACCTCTCTCTCCTAAACCATCACCCACACACCCTCGCTGTCTCTCTCTCTCTCTTTGCCCCTCTCCTCCTTTCCATCTCTCACTTTCACCTTCCTTGTCTGCCGTCTTTATTTACTAACACTGAATTGGCTTGCTGTAGCCTTTTGATAAGGGTTGGTCTGGGCTAATGCAAGTAAAAGCAAAAAGAAAGAAAAAAGGAAAATAGTGAATGATCCGCGTGAGTGTGCTTGCGTGCGTGTTTGCGCGCACCACTCGGTGGTCCCCTCTGTGTATGCTCGACAGCATTTAGCCTAACAAGGCTCATATTTTGTTTTTGTCAGCACTTCCCAAGATCATTAACACAAAAAGCGCCTGATCGCGCGCCAAAAACAAGGGACAAGAGATTCAAGGAAAAAATGCAATCTTAAGAGAGGGGTTCGGCTTGGCTCAAACTAAATTCATTACAATCCATCCTGACGCATTGGTTAACTCCGCAGCCAAACACACTCTGTGCTCCCCACTAAAGCAGAAGCATTTAGGACAGCTAACAGAGGGAAACCTCAGGCCGCCTGCAGTTGCGGGACTCTGATGGCGCCCTGGGGACCCGCTAAAATCGTCGTTGTGTGGATGTTAAACGTCACGACCTCGTGAGCACAAACATCTGGCTGCAGGAAAAAGAAGAAGACTAGACCACAAGGCATTGAGCGCGACCACAGGGCAACACAGAATGATTTAAAAATGTGTTTTGTGCATCTTAAAATACGATAATAAAACGCTGAGGAAGAATCAAACATGGAGTAAATCTCTCAAAGTACATTATGCTATAGCTGTATCCAAACCACAGTGGTTTTTTATCTAGCATGCGCCGGTAGCAGGTCGGTAAAACTGACAGACGGTGTGGGATCGCGTAGTTACACGGTGGAGAGCACAGTTTCATTTTTCCAGATGGCAAAACGAAACGAATGTTTTATGGCTCGTCCCAGTGAAAGATGCACTCTGTCCATCTCTGAGGGGTTTTCCCACACGGTTACAGAACATAAGAGTATAATGAAATAGCCTGGAACAAATGAGAGTTCAACACATCTTATATTGAACATTGCACGATTTGGCAGCTATAACACACATGGGTGGCCTCCAACTCGAATTTGAAGTTGATTTTAAGCTAAAATAATCGGACAAAATCTTGTGAATCTCTCTTGGAGATCTGCCTGTACAAAAGTGTAAGTGCCTGCGAAGTGCTCAAATACATGTTAAATTCGGTATTGTCATCCTCATGTTGCAAGCGTCCAGTCAGACTGGCGGACTCTGTCCATGGTGCTGAAACCAAACTGCGCTGCATGCAGGCAGCAGTCAGACTCTTCACTGCTTTCACACCATGTGCCTCTGGGAGTCTGCAGGCATCTAAAAACAAACAGCTCACCAGGAGTTGACATTGATGAGATGCGTCTGGTGCGCTAATTAGGAAATTCACCTATAGTGCTGCAGACTGGGACGCTTTCACCTGCCCTCCGTGTCACCTTTACGGACACGGGGAGCATTGTGCTGACATTTAATTTTTGATGCCTAAATTTGACAACGGGAAAACCGCTTTAAAGCTAGGGCTGATTCTCATTGTTGTTGTCTACAACATGTTCTCATTCACTTTGGTATATCTTTTGATGTCTCATTCTGACGCACAATATAAAAACTGTTTCGTATCGAATTGACTCACACTGTTGCAAATATAATGCTTCGACAGCACCCAAACACAGGCAGTTGCTCCACTTTTTTCAAATTGAAAGTGGGGAAAGCATCCAACAAAAGTGCAGTGTCATTGCCAGTGCATTTATTCTGATAAGAACAATTAGGCCAGGGCTCCCAAACTGTTTAATCCCATCTGAAAGTGTAGCTCTCTCTTTTACCTGAGTGGCAGATAAAGATGACCAACCATATTACCCATAGTTTCTTCAAAATCTCAATTGTGGTTTTATTTTTGTAACAAACATTGAAGTATTAATCTGATGAGTCCACTAAAGATCCAGGTAGAAACATGCAACATAGGGGCCCTTTCACATGGCTATAATAACTCTTAACAGTCTTTTTGGCATTGCTGGACGATTAGTCTGCAGCAATGATAGCTCTACTGAACTTCCTGTTGGCTTTTCATTAAAAAGACAGCTTACAGCTTACAAGAGTGTATAGAATGCAGTGGAGGGATGCTTATACAAAGTCATTTTCCCAAACTTTTCTTGATAGACGAAAAGGTTAAGCCATCTTAACTTTAATTACTGTGCTTCATGATGGAGGTTATTCATTGCTGTTTATTTTTAGCATGCAATCAACGCAGATGTTAAATCCTGAACAGAATGTCTCTTGAAGGGACTTCATTGACTCTCGGCTCTCTTACTTATTTATGAATACTCACTGAATGTGATAATGACTTCTCCTGCTGTCTCTTAGCAGTGTGTTTTCATTCTCCTTCAGACTGACTGGGGACCTCAGGTTTTACTGTGAGTGGGCTAAATAAAGTATGTAAATGCTGCTGAAGGTTTGACACAGTTACACAGTTAAAAAAAAAATGAATAATGCATTTTTACTTTTTCTTGCATCATGGCACTAGTATTAAACACACACAGGAACTTTGTAAGGCCTCCCCTCTGGGGAACATTCTCCTTTTTTTCTGCTGGTGACTTGGTGGCTGTTTAAAGGCATCTTTAAAGGAAGATGTCTTGCTGAACTCCACATGACACTATTAATGGTCAACCTCTGACATTATGTGCTATTGGAAAACACATTCATTGCGCTCATTCAGCATTTTTCTTCATTGGTAATCCATAACAGTAATTAAAGGAAAACATATTTTAAAGGAAATGCTTTTGTTATACAGGACACAGTAGGACACTTAGACACAAAGAATGAATCATTGTTATAACTTTCTAATGCTCTCCCACAGCAACAGTGTTATCTACATGTAAATGTGTTTTCAGAGCAAATTTGCAGAAAAATATCATTGAACTGTTGCAATGTTGATGTTTTTTAAACAGCAAAATGTAAAAAAAAAAAAGTATTCCTTATGATAAGAGGGACATGATTTAGAAATGAAACCCTAGTTGGTAACATTTTATATAAAGGTGCTTGTAATAAGCACCTTAATATAAATTAATATAGTTAATGAATATCTTACAAGCCAATTATAAATTAATTTATAGTTTAATTAACACTCATGAAGTATTATTAATGTTAATAAGCATCTTATTAATGTTTATGACGGTATATACAGTGTTAATACGTTTCTAATAAGAGCCTTGTGTCTTATAAGACATAATGAATGTGTTAATTATGCCTATATTAACACTTATATAGTCTTATTTGTGTTAATAAGAACCTAATAAGGTGTTATAAGTGACTTATTACCTGTTATTAATGCTTATTACAAGCACCTTAATATAAAGTGTTACCACCTAGTCTTTGTAGATTTCCTTCACCAGGAAGTGCATGCAGGACTAGCTGGGATGACGATGAACCCTACTCTTTGATAGGTTGGGTTGAAGGTGGCGTTTGTTCATCCATTTAGAGATATCAGCAGGGCATGATGAAATTCTTGCAGAGACTGTTATGTCATCTGATGGGAATGACAGAAAGAGCTGGGTGTCTTCAGCAAAGCAATGATATGATAAACCAGAGCAGAGGATGATTGAACCAAGTGAAGTGAGGTGGTTTATATTGAGAAGAGAAGGGGACTGAGCTCTGACCCCTGAGGCACCCCGTGGATAAACTGTGAGCTTTGGAGACTTATCCCTTCCAAGACACTAAAAGATCACCCTGTGAGATAGGATATGAACCAGCGAAGGGTAGATCCTGAGATGCCAAGAGAGAGTGTGGATAGGAGGATTTGATGGTTCACTGTGTCAAAGGCAGCTGACAGGTCTAGCAGAAATAGAATTGAGGCCTGATCAGCAGGTCGAGCCAAATGTAACAAAATTGGTTACTGACAGCTGGGGGGGGGGGGGGGGGAGAGACCCATTTAAGGAGAGGAGTTGACAATGTGCATAACTGTAGCATGAAGTGTAGAGGAAATAGTCTGTAAGAGGTTAGATGGCATTGGTGGTGGTGGGCTGAGAGTCCAGCAGAAGCTCAGAGACTTTGTCTTTGGTCAGAGGGGAGTATGAGGGGAGTATGAGGTGAGTGAGGCGCTATTAATTGGTGCCTGTAGGCTGAGTTGGTCAGGTTCAGATAGCTGAAACAGTTGATATATTCCTTATTTGTCCTTGAGAGAATTTGTATTCTTCAAAGACTAGAATTGTGAAGATTCAAGAGAAAGACTCCAACCAAACAATGTTTCCCTTGCCAATAAACTCATCACAATGGCCAACACTGTGTATGCACTTGAAAAGAAAAAGAAAAGCTTGCATTTTATTTATTCCTTCTTGTTAAAGAAGTGTACTGTATTGTCACATTTATTGTACAAACTAATTCATGTTTAACACACTAGAAATGTATGATAAGAATACATCTTTTGTAGGATACAATGAGTCGAGGTTTGGGGAAAACAAAACATACTTCTGCTAATGCATGACCTGCACTGTCAAACTGCATACATAAAATTAGAAGAAAACAAAACAAAACCCTTTTTATTCTAACATAGCAAGTCATTATGAAGGAATTCATGGTGGAAAATATGTCTTGGTCTTTCATATTCTAAAGTAGCTCTAATCAATATATCAATATCAGATATTCTTAAACCCATCAATTTATATATTGGCCATATATCCATATATCTTTGGTTTGGCCAAAGTCAATAGCTCAGTTCACTGTCAATATAAAGACTAATCAATGTGTACGTCTAACCATATTGATTTAAAATTGACACTTTAAAAGTGATGTTGAAAAACAAACCTTTACCTCTGGTTTGGGTCTTTTTTGACATTTGAGAAAAGCAACCCATTTTGATATACTCCTCCACTTTCATGGGGAAAAATGTGTTTAATTAGACTGCTAT